GATAGCTCTAGAAACGTGGCGTCACACTAGTCATGTGACTCGCTGACGCAACAATATGTTAGTCCAGAAACTTTCGTTCTTTATACAAAATAGTTTGAATATAACAAATATCAAACATTATTCAATCGTAAACAGAGAAGATAAAAACCGAATCAAACATAGTTACAGAGAAAATAATCGCAAACAAACCGGATAAAATATTTTAAGCTTTGAATATTGAAAAAAATTCTAAAAGTGTTTAGTATCCTTAGTTTGTTTGTTATTTTTAGCAAAGCCACATTTGCCTATCTGCTGTGTTCACCTCGGAGAATCGAACCCTGGATTTTAGCGTTATAAGTTGAAATTAAACTATCTTTTAAATGAAACAACTGTGAAGCCAATTTTGCCTCATCTTGTATAGAAAGGGATAACATTTGTCTTTTTTAATAGTCTTGTTTTCTGTTTTACAGGTTAAAAGAATCCAGACTAAACCATAGACCTGAGACAGACATCAACGTGATACAGAGTCCTGAGAGAAAGGCCCAACTTCAAGGTTAGGAGAGCAATATCCAAACTTTTCATACTTACACAGACGTTAATTCTATACTAAGGTGTGAAATTACGTTCATTAATAGACTGAGCTATGTTTTATAATATCAGAATCATAGAACGTGCTATTTTATGCTGAACTCCACTTGCAGGTTAATCTTGATGTTTAACATCTGTACCTCGTCATCATTTCCAACGGTAGCTATAATTAATTTTCTCTTGTTATTGAAGTGAGACTATTTAAATACTTGAAAAAAAAAACACGCATATCATTTCAAAAATATGTTTGATTTGGAAACTTATAAGAAACTTTTAAAATTATTATAAAACTAGTAAAATTATATTTTATATTTCTGATGGACGTACTGTATATCAAATCTAATTGTTGTCTTTTTCTTTTTCCGTGCAGAGTGTCACAAATTTGCCCTCTACAGATGCGGCAAAATCTTCCTCAAGGTTTCCAAACTCACCCATTTTCTTAAAGGAGAACAATCTTACCAAACCAAATGTGCCCTTAGACAGGTATATCTCTGAAATGTCCAGTTACTTTATTGATCCGTTTACGGTTGTCAAAGTATTTTCGCCAGTATCTTATTTTCCGTTGGTTATTAATTTATATTTCTAGACTTGTATTTACTGCATTACAAGATTACACTTTAATTAATGTGGAAATTATAAGTGTTGATGTAAGAATCATAAATACAATAGTAAATGTAGTATCCCGTTTCTTTTTGAAGTCAGTCACTGCCTAAGAGTCAAACACCTTCCTTTGAGTAGCGCCATCTATTGAAAAGTAAAAAACCTACATATATAATATATGTAAAATTCACACGTGGATGCATATACGTATATATATATATATATTCAGTGTTTAGTTTTTAAAGTGTGTCACATAACTACTCAGTTTCAAATGACACATTTGTTAAGAGTCAAATGATTAGCGTTTACGTTTTTTTTTCTCAGTTAATAATTATTCTTTATAAATTTAAAGTAGATATTTAAAATGAATTATTTTGAAAGCTACACTTTTTACTTATTACTACAAAAGTTGTAAGTTGGTTCAATAATAGTTTATCATATTTACTTTTATGTTATTAAATTCTGAATGAATCTTTTACAGGCTTTCTTTACGTGCATTCAGAAGTTGAGACTCAAACCGTGTTCTCATCGCAAGTACAATAAGGATTATGACATAGTAAAGTTGAGGAAGAAACTCGCAGACAAGCTCTGGGCGAACCGTTCATGTGTTCTTTTTGCTAAGGGCAAATAAAAAGAGAAGGAAAAATGCTACCCACGTATTGCACCAACAGCTGTGAAAAACGAAGTACGGAAGGTGTTACTGAAGACTACTGACATTTAAGAAGACGAGAAACGCTGCAGTAATTAAAGATGGTGCAATTACTTATACCGTGTGACAAGATTTGCTTAACCTGTGTTTAAACACACTAAATAACTTATTCATACTTATCTAAGTGTATCGTATAGTGAAAGGATTAGAACTTTCTTGTTCTTTAACCAACAAACTATGCTTTAGAGAAGTGTATAATCTTAATACCACATTTTGAAGATTACAGTACACAATAATCAAAAACAGTTGTAGAAATTATCTTTCTTCGAGTAATGTTTACATATCGATATGATAGCATTACATTAAATACAGAAGTGGAATTATTCGAAGCTAGTCTGGCTCACAGACACACCCCCAATGAAAGAATAGACCATTCCAAGCTTTTAATGGTTGTTAAACAAATGTTTAACCAACTTTATTCAATTAATACAGATTGTTTTGTTCTTTTACGTTTCCAATCTCTGAAGTGGAACTATCTATCTTTACTCTCATCAGCCACCAATGAAAGTTCAGACCAAACCAAGCCTTTAGAGTAGTGAGGTATCGAAATGGTGTATTAATTATTTTGCACCTGACCACAACCAAAATGCAAGCTATTAAACATTTCGTTAATTCTATTTTATTGATGTGGATACAAGTGGAGTGTTCTAAGAACACTATTGTTCCACATTCCTTTGGTGAAAGTTGAGTACGAATTATCGTAACATTCATAGGCCTGGTATACCTGCATTATCAAATAACATTACGAATAAAAGTTTACAGATTAAAGAATACTAGGCATAGGCATGTTTCTTTAGTTGAAGACCATGTCTCCAGTACAACGGTAAACAAAGACTTTGGACTGTTGCATCACCCACTCAGCATGAAAATAATTACTAACGTTTGAATATTGCATGCATATTTTAAAGACTACTGTTAAAAAATTCCAAATAATTCACACGCTATGTAAATTGGACCACATTTTGGTTGTAATATTTGTTGCCATTTGTGACGTCCACATTCCATTTAATATTTCTTTTAAAACTTACATGTAATTATATAGCATGAGGTATACAGATTTGAGTCTTTTTTTTTCGTGTTTAGTTGTTTGTTTAAAGTCTTGTTGAATAATATATGTGTTTCAGTGCGAGTAGAAATACTGCTATGTTCATCCATATATATATATATATATATATACGTATAGTAAATATGTATATACGTACAAAGTGATCGGACATTATGTTAAGAAATTTATTAATATTTATTTCTGAATGTGTTGGAACTCCTATCACACTGCTATGATATTCCATGCATGTTACAATGTAAATTGGTTGGTGTAATTAAATTTTAGAAACCACTGTTACTAAGGTTCAAGACTCCTATGTATGAAACACAGGTAAACAATTTTGTTAACGTAATTTCCGCAAACACTGTATGTATGTTTATATATATATCATTTGTATAATCAATTTCACATAACATTGTAAGAAAAGTTTGCTTTTATAAACAAATCCGAAACACATTTTATATTATATATATACTTATCATTAATACAAACAGCTAATAGCTCTTATACTGTAGATTTCAAAAGCCTCAAAAACTCGAGCGCTTTCCAATAGTTGACTATTACTTTTGCTCCTCGGTGGCTCGGTGCTTATAACATTAAAAATTGGGTTTCGATAGCTGTGGTGAGAACAGCACAGGTAGCCCATTGTGCAGCTTTGCGCTTAACAACAACCAAAAACAGACAAAACAAACTATTTTTCTGTAGTAAAAAGGCCCCCTTGTTTGTGGGTCTTTTGAAATCTACTCAATTTTTTTGGTGATCCTTTGTGCTAATTCTTTTATCACAGCGCTTTTACTACCCAAGCTCATGCACGTTACAGTATCAAACTAGCTTCAAATCTACATGTAACTATAGCCGTCACTAGCCAAGCTCATGCACGTTACAGTATCAAACTAGCTTCAAATCTACATGTAACTATAGCTCTCTCTAGCCAAGCTCATGCATGTTACAGCATCAAACTAGCTTCAAATCTACATGTAACTATAACTCTCACTAGCCAAGCTCATGCACGTTACAGTATCAAACTAGCTTCAAATCTACATGTAACTTGAGCTTGGCTAGTGACGGCTATCTAGTTTGATACTGTAACGTGCATCCTCAAATCTACATGTAACTATAACTCTCTCTAGCCAAGCTCATGCATGTTACAGCATCAAACTAGCTTCAAATCTACATGTAACTATAACTCTCACTAGCCAAGCTCATGCACGTTACAGCATCAAACTAGCTTCAAATCTACATGTAACTATAACTCTCACTAGCCAAGAAACAAACTTATGTTTATCTTTCTTCACCACATGTTTGAATAGCAATATCCGTGTATTGATCCGTTATAGGACTCGAATCCGTGTATTTATCCGTTATAGGACCCGAAATTAGCAAGCCCAACAACCATTAAAAACCAGGCGAACTGTAATATTTACGGGCGGGCAAGGGTATTGCAATCGGATGCGTATGTATGTCTGTGTTTCGAAAACTAATAGACTGATGTACACGAAAATCTCAAATGTGGTCCGGATCCAAATCCATGTCCTGAATCACTTTAAAGCATTTTTTTTTATATATATAATGGTGAGATAGGGCATTTTCACGGTTTTGGGTTAATAAATCTGTAAAGTGTGATCGGATTTGTACCAAATTTCACTGTCACATTAATGTTGAGAATCCTCATCATACTACAAAAAAGGATTTTCTGAGTTTTTGAAGGTGAAATTTGACGTTATCCAATATAAACGCATGCAATCTCCAGAAGGAGCAGCGGGGCGAGGGTATGTAATCTCTCTGACTGCTCTTGTTTACATTCGTATACTGAGGGTTCATCAGGTTTAATAAGAGTAATGTTTTGGTCCCGTGCGGCTCTTGAAATTCCTGCTTCTATCGTCGATCATGCTTAATCTGATACCTCTGATAACGCCCCGCATACTTTTCATTTAAACTAACTTCTGCGAAGGACAGTAAGGTCAGTCTTATACTACACACGTTGACAAACTTTTCACAGACGTCGGTTCCCAAAAGTACATTTAAGCAGAACGAAGGCACAAACCTCCAGTGGAGTTGCATCATGGCCTTAGCAAGTATGTGGTTAAATGGGATTGCTGAGATTCCAGCTCCTTTGGCCATCTTTCTCATAAAAACAACAGCTGTTGATTTTGAGATATGGCTGGAAGCTAGTGAACTTTAGGTATGTGGGCCTTCGTCAAATCTTTGTTTATTATCCTGTTATTGGTATCGGGATATACTCATCTTCATTCCAATTGTTTTTTAAGTCGAAGAGTATTTTTTACTTTGCGGAAAAAGATGTTACTCTAGTTTAGCTGGTTTAGAAACCTAGCGTTGTCCTAAACGAGCTTTCACGCTTCCACGCAGAACATTGAAATATTCTGTCCGTTTAGTGATCTTGATCTATATACGAATATTCTTGGGAAGGGTTATAATATATGTCTCTAATAATAAGTACATCCGTATTGGAATTGCACTGTTTTCGTCCTCATTAAAGTATGATCAAATTACAGCTTGGATCTTCTGTAACTGGAAACTATTAACATATGCAAATCGTTCTTATAAAGTGGGATTAATTTTCTGTATATTAAAAGTCTAATATTTCGAGTGCTGTATATGTAAGCTGACAGTATTATATTAGATTTTCCATTTTTAGTCATTATTTTGGCAGTATTTATTATCAAAGCTTATGCTATTAAATATGAATTTTTAACTGTGAAACTCAATTATAATAAATATATTGTTAAAATATAGTTCATTTACTGTATTGATTTCATAATTCTTACTTATTTTGTATACTTATCGCTCACTTTCCTGCACAGACCGCAAACTTCAAACAGCCTGAGTGCATGCTTATCAAATTGTATGTTCCTTGTTTATAATAATAAAAGCGCATAAGTTTCGGTAAACCGTTTGTTTATTTACTTATTTGCTATTATTTGAGTCGAAGCGATTTTAAGAAGAACCGTATTGTTCATAAGGTATGTTTTTCGATATTTGAAATGTAATTGATGTATGTGACCGTAATAAAAACCATAGTGGTCATTTGTATTAATTTTATGGACGTCTACTGGAAGTACAATAAAAATAATCACGAAGTAAAAACTCCGACAAGGAGAGCGCTGTCCAGCTTGTACGTATGGGAACTAGTTTTTGGTGGAAGCTTCCCTTTAACCCCTCTTCTTTTTTTTTTCTTTGCAGTCTCGCCCATTTTCTCTCCAGGTAGCCGTCCCTAATTTAGCAGTGAATGACTAGAGGAAAGGCACCTAGTCAATACAACCCAACGCCAACTCTTGGGATAGTCTTTTTACCAACAACGAATAGTGAGATTTACCGTCACTGCTGAAAGGGCAAGCATGTTCGATGATGGCGATTCGAACCCGCGACTCCAGATTGTAAGTCGAACGCCCTAACCACCAGGCCTTGTCACGCCCTTACCCCCCCCCCCCTACTGTGTTATAAATAAGCAAAGTCACTAAATTAATGAAAAAGGTTTATATATATATGTGGAATTTGTTTTTAAACATCTATAACAAAGATTACGAACAAATCTTGTGAGACACAACAAGATTGTGATTACAAAACCATTTAATAACAACTTTGTTTTACCTAAGGATCTGAATATTTCAATATTGATTTCATTTGTACAGAACGTTGGTTAAATATTGCATTTTTTGAAAATAAAATAAAAGCTATACACAATTAAGGGGTAGATATTCAATAAACATATAATTTCTAACAATTAGGACTAAAACATACCAAAATATCTTGCAGAAACAAATAATTATGTAAATAACTACGTATAAAAGTTACTTCATGAGCACCGAATACAATTTTTTATTGCGACATACATGCACCGATAAAAAATAAATATAGATATCACTCAAATATTATTTGAAAATACTACCTGTGACTTTTTTCTCTCGTTAGATACATTCACCTTGATTGATTAGAAATAATTGAACTTTGAAATATTTTATTTTGCTAAATGTTGACGTATTTATCTAATAAACCTGTATGCCATCATGTTGCTTCTACTTACACACTTAAGCACTACATTTATACTTTAACGTTAATTCTCCCAAACATAATTCCCTATGTTTTTAACAAATAATAGCAACATCCAGGAGTGACGTTGGTATCTTTTTTCAAATTATCACATGTGTGCAGACTGTGTAAAATGAGAAGAAGAAACAATTCATGATGACGCTGAAATCAAATCTCAAGTCCATCAAGAAAGCAAGGTAAAAAAAAAAAAAAAA